TTGCCACTCGTCACAACAAGAAGTGTCATCATTACTGCTCACGGGCAGGTACCGGCAAGAATTCCCTGGGGGATGCTCTTCTGCTCAATTGGGGATCTCACCAACTTCTCTATGCGTTTCCGCCTCTTCCTCTCATTCCAAGGGCACTGGAGAAGATAGCAACGGAGGGTGCAACAGTGATTTTCATAGCATCCTTTTGGCCTCGGCAGACTTGGCTGACACAATTGTCCAGAATGTCGGTCGCTCAGCCACAACGACTTCCACTGATGCCCAACTTACTGTCTCAGCGGCACGGTTCGATGCTGCATCCGAGCATCGATCATATGCATCTTACGGCATGGCTCCTAACTGGTTTCAGCCACCGGAAATGATTTGCTCTCAGGAAGTGAAACATGTATTTATGAATAGCAGACGCCATAGCACTCGCAAGGCCTACACCTACAAATGGCACCGGTTCCAAGCGTGGTGTCTGGAAAGGGACTTTGACCCTCTTTCTTTACCGGTGCAGCATACTTTGGACTACATCTTCCATCTGAAGACGGAGGGCTTAGCAAATGCTTCGTTGAAAGTGCACTTGGCAGCAATCTCGGCCTTCCGCCCGCACATCGACCAGTCGCTATTTGCTCACCCGTTAGTTAAAAGGTTCCTAAAGGGACTTGATAACCTATATCCGGCCTTCACAATCCCTCCAGAGCCGTGGGACTTATCTTTGGTACTGGACGCACTAACTCGTCCCCCCTTTGAACCATTAGCAACTTGCGACCTGCGCATGCTCACAATGAAAGTGTCATTCCTTCTGGCAATCACGTCAGCACGTTGGGTTAGTGAGTTGGCAGCCCTTTCAGCCGATCCACCATACACTTTATTTTCTGAACTCTACATACCCTCGATGTTAGACGAGCACTGGCCTTCTACCTGCATAGAACACGCTCCTTCAGAAAGTCTCGGCACCTTTTTATAGCTACGGCGGAGCGCTCCAAGGGTCAACAGCTCTCCACACAACGTATTTCCAATTTGATCACCTCCTGTATCTCACGTTGTTATGCCCTACGACACAAACCCTTACCAGGACGACCTTGCGCTCATTCCACCAGAGGCATGGCCGCATCTACTGCGTACCTTAGAGGGGTACCATTACAGGACATATGCCGTGCAGCAACCTGGTCATCCTCGCTCACCTTTGCCAAGCACTATGCTCTTGCGAACATATTGAGGAATGATTCAACGGTGGCGCAAGCAGTCTTGGCCACAGCACAGAGACCATAAGTCCGAAACACGCCGATAATGCTTGACCACTGCTCTGTACTCACCTCGAGTGGAGCACCCTCGGGGACACTACTCGACGAAGAAGAGAGAGTTACTCACCCTGTGCAGTAACGTCTGTTCTTCGAGATGTGTGTCCCCGTGGGTGCTCCA